GACGTGGTGCCTGGAGCAGGGATCCAGCCCCGCCGTGGGCTCATCCAGGAGCAGCACCTGCAGAGGACAACGGGATCAGAGCTCCCCTCGCCCCAGCCGTGCTCACGTGGCTCAGTTCCACGCTTGCACCGCTTCGTTTCGCGCTTCTGGCGGCCTTGCTGAGAGAGGAGAGGGCGTCCTCAAGTATCGCTCGTTTTTATTGCTCTTCCTCCTGCTGCAGTATTGCCACCCCTCTAATTAAAAATACAGCTCTGATTGAACCAGATTCCCCAACCCTTCCAATAAGGGAATTAGCTTGGAATGGCAGGGGAAAATCACGACAGGCTCTGTGCCAAGTTAAAATGCAAAGCTATGTCCCAAAACAATAAATGTTGTGTGTGTGCATAAACACGACTGGTCCCTACCTGGGGATCCCCTAAAATTGCGATTCCAAGAGACAGTTTTCGTTTTTGTCCCCCACTCAGGGCATCAGCACAAACATTCTGAACATCAGTGAGGTCCATCGTGACGAGAACTTTCTGCACCTTGGGAGCACACCAAGACAAGAATCACATTTCCAAAGCCCTGGGCACCTTCGGGTTCCTAAATAGCTACAAATATCACAACTTCCAAGATTTCAAACTTACCCACTCTTAATGGATTTCCTTGGAGCTAAATAAGACAAATCTGAGTTTTAACTCAAGATGTGAGGATAAGGAAGAATTGGAAAACCAATCTGCCACTAAATTAGGTTTGTTCTCATTTCCAGAGAATAAGATGTAGGTGACCATCTTTTATAAATAAAGCACAAAGTGCCCAAGATGCCATAAAAGAGAAGTCAGTGGCTGAGAAGCACATACCAACCTCTTCATCTACTTCCTTCCACTGGATCCCCTTGATGTGAGCAAAAATTCTCAGGTTTTCCTTCACCGTTAAGGCTTCAAAATGCAAATTAATTTGGGGGCAAATCCCAATCCTTTCCTGCATTCCTTCCATATTCCACATTTCAGAAGCATTGTAGTTGTAGATCGTGGCAGAGCCTGCACAGGGGAGTGAATGAAACATTTGACATTAATTCCAGCACCATGGATGTTTCTCAAGTGTTAAATTAAAAATTCAAAAAGCAAAGAAGCAAAATAACCCAATAGCCCAAAGATTTAACACCTTTCAAAAGTATTTCACAGCACCAAAACCCTCCCTTAAAAATAAAAACGTGTTTCCTGTAGGTGTGCAGCTGATGGAAAGCAGCAGGTCATCCAGATGGACAAATGACCATGGTGCCCACCTGAGGGATCCATCATCCCTGGGGCTCGTGTTGAAGGAGAAATCTGCACTCACAACAACCCATCAGGAATTACTGAGGGAAAACTGGAGGTTTTTTCCACATTTCCCCCTTACACTTGAAGAAACCAACAGCTGCCAGCATCCAGGTCCATCATTGTCATCATCATCATCATCATCATCATCATCATCACCATCATCATCATCATCATCACCATCATCATCACCACCATCATCATCATCATCTTCATCTCACCTGCTGAAGGCTTGGAAAATCCACTGAGCACATTCAACAGAGCGGTTTTCCCAGCCCCACTGTGACCCAGCAGTGCTGTGATCTGGCCTTCATAGATATTTAAGGACAAACCTGGAATAAAAATAGGACAACAGTGGGATGGAAGTGCGTGAGCAGTGGACTGGGACCTGTAGCTGTTGCCACAGGTGCCAGAAGTGACATTTCTTTAGAAGCTGAGAGGCAAAACCAGATCCAAAAGCACAGGTTGGCTCTTCAGGAGTTAGGCCTGAGCTTAGTAAGGAACCATGTCTTGATTGAATTGAGGGAATAAATGTATTATCTTCAATATTTAAAAAATTTTGACTTCAGTTTTCTATGAGGTTTGTAACATTTTATTTTAGTGTGGCTCAAGAAGAGTCCTGAGGAAGAGAAGAGCCCAGAGTTTTTCCAACGTGTGAAAATTTCAAGACTTATTTCAAAGCAGACAGACTTTCCTACCTCATTTTCTTTTTTTAAAAAATACTTTGCCTTTCTGTGGGTTGTTCAAGTTGTGTTTGTTTAGTTTGTTTCCACTCAATATAGACCTTCGAGGCCATATTGATATTTTTAATATTTGGGGATTTTTTTAATTTTTGATATTTTTGCTTGGAGTCCTTATTAAACAAAGACATTTATTACCCCATGACTTTACTATGTGCCAAATATTTGCATTGGCAAGTGCTTGGAGAGCACAGCTCAGGCAGGGACAGCAGATTTGGCCATAAAATCTCAAGTT